TTTTATAAAGTATGAGGTCAATGCATTAGGGAACACTGATGCAAATCACAACAAAGTGCCTTTATTAACACTTAACTGAAAAATAATGAGTGAAAACAGACAATATCACTCAGAGTTTGTGCAAATTGGTCATGAAAGGCCAGCAATATGTAATCTGGATTCCAAGAAGAGCAGCATGTAAGCAGATATTACATCAATTTAAACGGTTGGATCCTTTTCTCTGCCAAATTCAGAGATCTGCAAACTCTGATATTTTTAGTTTTCAAGCATCTGTGTTTGTTTTTGGCTGATCCAGCCTGTTTTGAGTTGACGTCCACTTGTATAACCAGACTGCTTGTGTCCTTAATACAGCAGAATCGCTTTTATCCCCTTTGTCCTGAAAAACAGAAGGGACTTCAGAAACACTTCAGATTAAAGCCCTTATGTAAGATACGATAGCAAATCTGTTTGGGTGTGGAATTTACATAATCAGTACACCAGTTACTAAATTGCCAGTTTAGAGAGGATTCAAATGAAATATAGTGACTGAATCTCATAGTGTGTCGTAAACACAGTTTTACGTTGAGCTCTGTGCCGCGCAGGAGAAGGGTCCGGTCCCTCTGAAGGGCTCGCGGTGGATCTGGCTCGCTCTGCGTCAAGCGTTCGGCCGGCCGCTGGTGCTCAGCATCACCTTCCGCTTCATAGCCGACCTGCTGGGCTTCGTCGGGCCGCTCTGCATCTCGGGGATTGTTCACCACATCAGCAGCGACAATCACAGCGCTCTGCCTCCGGTACCAATGCAAATAATACAGCATACACAGGAGCTATTCGGACCGTTAAGATGCACTTAAAGGGATAGTTCACCCAAAAATGAAAATTGTGTCATTAATTACTCACCCTCGTGTCGTTCCAAAACTGTAAGACTCAGAGAGCTGTTGTGAAACAAGTTCATATTATTTACTTCTTAAAAAATAGGTTGCTCTGGTTAAGATCGAATATGTACTCTAAAAATATGTGATCCTCTGTCTTTACAAACACAAGGGGGATGATACAATGTTTATCTCATCCCATGATCCATTTAAACACACTTCAAGGGCTTCGAGAGCTCAGAGATTGCTGTGATATATCTCAAAGCCATTAGATGACTGTATGCTCTGAGCTTTAATAAATATGGGTGATTTGCATCCAAAACTAGCCTTCCTCCCTTAGTAGATTTATTGGTCTGCTCCGGTGCCTGTTTGTGGCCTCTCTCTTTCTTTCTTTCTTTCTTTTTCTTTCTTTCTTTCTCCAATTGAATTACAGAGTAAGTTATAAAAAAATATAATTGTAATGAATGAAAAAACGAATTAAGGCTTTCTGCTACAGTCTGTTTCTGCCGCAGGATAAAAAAAAAAAAAAAAGCAATTGTGACTTTTTATCTCATAATTCTTTTTTTTTTTTTCTCATAATTCCAAAAAATAAATAAATAAAAAATCAGAATTGCGAGATCATAATCTTGCAATTGTAAGAAAAACAGTCAGAACTATAAGATAAAAATTCACAATTAACATTTTTCTTTTTTTTTAATTCTGTGGCATGAAAAAAAAACAGAATTATGACATGTAAATATAGACTTCAGAAGAAAAAAAAACTGAATTGTGAAAATGAAACTTGGAATTGCGAGAGAAAGATGGAATTGTGAGGTAAAAAGTCACAATTACCTTTTTTTTTTTTATTCTGTGATGAAATCGGGCTTCCATAGAAATGTGACCTGGACGTGTTCTTGCAAGATTGTCCCACTGCTGGATATTTTACACGCTTGACTCCGTTTGTAGGTGAAGCTGCTCGGAGTGCACTTCATCTCGTCAGAATTTTAAAATAACACTGATTATTAGTTTTAACTCTGATTAAAAAAAAAAATTACTGTTGTAAGTTGCACAATAAAAAAATATATATATATTAAAATAATTGTATTATAAGTTGCCAATATTTGTTTTAAATTCTTCACTTTCAAACATTCAAACCATCGATCGTTTGAAGACCTCTAGCTTTTATTTTTGGAGGAACACTGGTGTAATTTGTTAACCCCTGTATTCTATATACACCTGAATAACTAGAAGGTAAATGCGTTGTACGTCGTGCTGTATTGCTGTGCTGTGTAGATTGTGATGGGGGTTCTGCTGCTGTATTCTCTGCTGGGGGTCAGCGCTCTGATCGGTGCGACCGTCATCGTGGTTCTGGCTCCTCTGCAGTATTTTGTGGCCACTCGACTCTCACGGGCACAGAAGAGCACGCTGGTGAGCAGTTTACAGAGACTGATTTACCATATTTAACTACTATACTGAATGACATAGCATAGACTTCTCCAAGGCTAGTGTTTGCGTATGTTTCATTTAATTCTGTAATTTGTTCTACAGATCTGTGTACTAGTGTTAAATGCTACTGTTTTTGACAGAGTTGATAACGTTTCTGACTGATAATATCATGATATTTTTTGCCTTTCCCTTAGCAAATGTGCTATTCTGTCAGCAATAACCTGTCCATGGGCTTTTTTGATTACTGTCAGTTTAATTGCAGGCGATGCAGTGTTGCCAGATATTACTATAAAAACTAATCAAAAATAAATAAAAAATAAACCAAAATTATTTCAAATGTTTTGCAAATAAGATAAAGATATCGCTGACCCTAAATTGCAACTTCCCACTTTATTAACTTTCTAAAGTGTCAAATTAAGTGGAAAAGACAAGTCCAAAAATGCTTATAATAGCTTGATCTGGCAAACTCTCTCAAGACTCGTTCACTCCAGCAGCGTCTCGCAGCGATCGTTTTCATACCACTGACACTAAACATTCCTGCAAACTGTCTGAACTGAATTATACATGTCACGCAGACATTCATATGAGGAGTTTTAAACAGCAAATTAGTCATTCGGAGAACAAATTTTATTTTTGAACATGAAAAATGTACCGAGGTACGGGCCTGGATTCTGTCACTACACTGTAAATAGCTTAAATAGAATAGAAAGAAACCTGCAATGTTCTGTTGGGAGTCTGGTTTCTAACCCTGCGTATAATGAGATGTATATACTGTAAATCACCTTGGTTGCATTATAATATCAGTCAGATGCTGTACGAGTGATGTTGTGTGTTACAGGAGCACACCGGCAAAACCAACGAGCTGCTGCGGGGAATCAAGCTGCTGAAGCTGTACGCGTGGGAGCACATCTTCAGGTCCAGCGTGGAGGAGACGCGCAGACAGGAGCTGAGGAACCTGCGCACGTTTGCGCTCTACACGTCCCTCTCCAGTGAAATGTCAAT